GTCCAGCCCCATTGCCCATTTGTTCTGTTTGACTCAAAACTCACACACACACACACACACACACACACACACACACACACACACACACACACACACACACACACACACACACACACACACACACACACACACACACACACACACACACACACACACACACACACACACACACACACACACACACACACACACACAAATATTTCTCTAGAGGAATGCAAAACTTCCAGTTTTTCCTTGGAGAATCAATGGTTCTGACAAATGACTGCAAAATAAATAAATAAACAAACAAACAAACAAATAAATAAAGAAATAAATAAATAAACAAATAAATAAATAAATACAAGCTTTAAGCACAGATTTTTGTTGATTTCATTCTTTTGGTTTGAAACAAGGTCCCAGTAAAACAACACTGTAAATGAGGGTAATTCATTACAAATAGCATTATTTGTCCTGCATGCTAGTTTAATTTATTTATACTACATCCTTTGTTTTTATTACAACCAGCTTTGCAAGTACACTTGTTTCTGCATCTTCTTTCAGTTTTCAAACATTTTAGAAACTAAATCCTCTTTTTTGGTTCATCTTTGAGAAAGAAACGGAAGGCTAAAGAATGATGAGATGCTTTGGATTGTCTTGTGCAGGACAGCGTCACGGAGAAGTTGTGATTTTTATACCAAACTCTAACTTTGTGATTACTTTTTGCACTTGAAGCCTCTGTGAGTGGCTGTTGAGGTAGAAAAGTGACAGAAATGTAGAAAATTGTGGCTCAGACTAGAAGTATTGTGTGACAGTCTGCAGGTAAAAGCCACCAGTTGTCCTCTTCTTTTTCCTGGCATGTTATTATGGATGTGCAAAGTGTCAGCAGACATGTGAAACAAAACAAAAATGGAACAAAGATTGTTAAAGCAAATGTAGGTATGCTGTGATTCTGAAACCAATGTTTTTATTAGTTGAAGTCATGAGTTTGATTTGTCGTGTTTGTGGCTGAATGCTTTAGCAGTACATTAAATGTTTTGGTCTTACAAGCAAATATTCAAACATTTTCTATGAGAATTCACCGATTTAGCTTGACTTTAACTGTTTCATAAATGCTGAGAAGCCATCTGATCCAGCTGTTAGAAACGAGCCCGGGCCATTATTGTGCAAACCGACACGTTTCACAGATGGCTGCCAGGCCTTATTTCCCTAAACGTAATGTTTTACATCCAAATGAAATGTTCTGTGCAAAAACATGTGTGTGGATAATGAATTGGCAAGAAGTACAAATTTTGGAAAACTTTATGTATTTGTTAGTTTCATAAACTTTATCCAACTTTACTCTTCATGTGTTTCGTTGACAGGGATGAAGCTTGTAACGCTGCTCTTTCAGGTGACCTGTACTTTAGGGGATTCTGACTCCCTATAAGGAACATCTGATCCATGTACAGCTGGAATTTGAATCAGATTACTGGTTACAAGTCAGGCTCATTTCCAGTGGGTTGTAAGTGTTGTTGCCGATTCTGGTTACAACTCTTATGAACGTAATGTTCAGGAACAGCCAGGATTTGCAGCAGGAATCATCTCTTCTGAAGCCATGGTCCTCAACTGGAATAGGGTGCATTTTAAATAGAAGATTTTAAATATCTTAAAGTTTATAAGCTTATTGCTCCATACATCCATGTACTTTTGTAACTTCTGATGGTGTTTTAGATTATATTTCTGAAAAAAATTGAAAATCAAAATTGAGGAAAAACTTTTTGTGATAAATAAATATCAAACTTAAAAAAAAAGATTCTTGGACAAAATATCAAATACAGTCAAGAGAGTCAAATGTTAAGCAACTCAAGCAACCAAGAGGACATTCTAGCAAAGTTGAAAAATAACAGCAATACAGTAAATTAGATAAAAATACAATTTTAACCACACAGTCCCATCTAAACAGACGGCACTCTGTATGATCTGCTGTTATCTGATGCCTGCTTGCTGCAAATATGTGACTTAAACTGATAAACTCTGTGTATGAATTATGATATGAGCATTTTTTAGTGGGGAAGGAGATATGAGCTTAAATTAAATCAAGCAGCAGTCAGTGGTTTCTGTGATCATCTATCTCTGCCACTAAAGGAAGTCCTTGAAAAGAGTTTGTTTTCACCCAAAGATGTTGGAAACCAACCAAACCCTAAAACAAGCTCCGATGTTTGCTTCAGACTTTTCTTCCATAGCAAAATAACAATTTGTTGCTTCACAGATGTTCACTTCAAAGTAAAAGCACAAAATGCTTCCAGGCTGCAGAAGAAAATAGACTTTCCAGAGTGCTTCGGCTTTATTGTATGCCTTTCACCAGATAAAGGAAACGCCAGCAGCACGGATGCACACATGTTTTATTTCTGCATCTCACATGGTGTTTACTTGTTTCATCATGGCGGTGAGTTGACAGAATTCATTCAGATCATCTCTTTAGTAACTAACAGAGAAGAGAAATCAGGTCATACATGATAAAAACCTGCTTAATATAGAAAAGTTATTCTTTATTTTAATAGTAAAATGGCTCTGTGTCATTACACGTGTGCCGATCCCTTCATCCAGAAGGAATTACTATCTCGTATTTTGGCAAATTGTTCTTTAATTTAATTTATTCCTGACCATGTTGAGTGTCATTGTTACTCTGAATAAAGTACAAGGACACTTTCAGTTCAGATGCAGAAGGAAGCCTAAATGGTAAAAAGAAGACAAATGTTGGGTTTAAATATGTCAAATGGCTGAAAGTAAATAAGTATTTACAAGTACAAAATATTTTTCACAACATTGAGGCCTCTGTGTCACTAAAGACATTTTTCGAATATGTAATGTCCAATGTAAGGTTTAATATTATAGTTTAGTTCATTGTTTTACCTGATTTTTTGATGCACACTTCTTAAAGGTGCAATAAGTAAGAACTGTACAGTCACATCATCCCAAAACAGTCTCATGGCTCAATCATGTTGGGAGGAAGGTTACATTCAAACAGATTTCATTCTCAGCCAGCTGGGTGGTTGCCAGGCAGAAGAGGGATCTAGTCATTGGCCCAATCTCAATACTCGCACTGAGCGCTACAGTTTTCCGTGGAGTGCACTTGGAGGAAGTGCACAGTTATTCTTTGAGTGCATCGTAAACATGTGTGCAAACAATTTCATAAATGGGACAGTGGCTGGTCGCCGTTTGGGCTATTAAGAAAACTTTATTAACAACATTTAAATTAACAATTTTCGACAAACAGACTTTACATTCATTGTTGTTCACATTAAATCTTAGTCTAAAATATTCAGAGCATGAATAAATAGCAGTGATTGTCTTAAAATGAACTTTCATTTGAAAATACACATTTTCAGGAAATGCACAAGAGCCATTGCTACGCCTTCTTTTTCACACACAGCAATGGATTGTGGGTAATACCATTCACCCAAATCCGCATGAATGCAGACTTGGGTAGCGTGTGGCTCAAGGGTCCAAAAAGGGCGTGGTCAGCTTACACACTTGAGGATCGGGACACCCTATGCACTCGCACCCCTGGACTAGAACGCACAATTGAAGGACACAAGTTATTTCTTGTAAACCCTCTTTATCTTTTGTTTTCCTATATACTCTTAGAAAGTCGTGTAAAATTACTCAAGTAGAAAAAACACACAAACACACAAACAAACTATCTGCCATTTATTGTAAAACGTTTTTTCTTTTTCAGACTGAATCAGTGGAGCTGAAGTTTGACCCCTCCACATGTGGTCCTGATGCTGCTGCAGAGCAGGTGTGGGTGGTAACTCCACACACACACACACACACACACACACACACACACACACACACACACACACACACACACACACACACACACACACACACACACACACACACACACACACACACACACACACACACACACACACACACACACACACACACACACACACACACACACACACACACACACACACACACACACACAGGCTGCGGGTGGGAATGCTCAGCAGGCAGCTCAGAATCAGCCTGCCCAGGACCACCACCAGGCCTAATTACGGAGAGAACATGAATAATGAGAAATCAGTGCTCTGTTGGTCTGAAACCTGCAGCACTCCACGCCTGGTCAGTCCACGTCTGAGTCAGACTTTCCACAGTGCTCACTGAGTGACGGATAGCCTGTGGCATGAACCACATATTCTCAAGCTGCATGTGTATTTATACGTGACCTTGGTGGGCGTTTTGATGTGTTATGGGGAGCATGATTTCCACATGATAAACAGAACAGCTGTGTTTTTGTCTCTGCAGTTTCCTTTGGATGCAGGTGAACAATTTTTTTTTGCCGAAAACCGTTTCAGATGAAATGATGGAAGCTTCGGTTTAATGCACATGCAGACACATGTGACTATTAACCTTTGATATAAAGGTGTGGTTGACTGAAAAAACATTTTTAAATTAGTATTTCTGATTATAATCGGTCACTCTTAGTTTTTCATGCAGGCTGAACATGAAAACAGTCTCCTACACCTATCTCCTGCATTAGCTTCTGACAGAAGATAGATGCTGAAATGCTAGTATTTGAAAACCCCCACATATATATGTCACACTGTGAATTAGCATTCATGGCCTCGCCCATCTTGGCTCTGCGTGCCCACAGGAAGGCTTTTGTCAGTTATTTTTTGCAGCGATGAGAGAGAGAGAGTGTCTTGGTGATAGTTTGCAACATGGCTGAATGAGTTCTGTTAACCAATCAGAAGCAAGGTTTGTGTGTATCATTAATAATAATGAGTAATCCTGCTGTTTTCAGCTCACCTCTACACCAGCAAACTTCTGCATCTCAGAACAGTAGCATCATAGCTTCTTTTTTGTTTAATGACTCATAAGTTGTTGATTTACACTAGAGAACACTGCAAGTTTATTGAATGAGCGAATGAACCAGAACTTTAATCATCACAGGTTGAAATCGAGCGCAGACACTCATTAACAGATGAATACGTCTTATTTATACATAGATGACATAATGAGAAATGAGGCTGTGCGAGTTTGAGGAGCTGTCCAGATGCTGAAACAGCAGCGCGCGGTTAATTTTAAGAGCAGCTGTCTCTGGAGGTGTTTTACTGCGTGTGATTTATCTGGAGATAGTTGGGGTTTTCTGTTTCCTTAAGAGGCTCTTGAACGTAATTAGGATCAAAGTAACGAGCCGTCTGCCACACATCGGCGGTGAAACCACACCGGGAGAGTCACAGCCTCGCTTGTAGCTGCATGCGGACAGGAGGGGTGGAGTTTATTGCATTTACTTTTCAAAGCTCCTCCGGCTCAGACAGAAGAAGCGCTTTCTTTTCCCGGGAAACAGCTCAGATGGTGCGTCCTGGCATGTGATCTCACTTCACAGACCAGTCGCCTCGCCTCTGCAGCCTCCAGTTTTAAACTTTCCATGCAGTTGCCCGTCCGGCAGACTCAAGCTGCAGGAGGTTCCGTCTGTACTCGCTCGCCCGCTGCGCTCCGGTTCTCTCCGTGTTCAGAGGGACTCGCGCGACCGCAGGAGCTGGCCCGGGTCTCCCGCACGCATGGAGGGAGACGTTATGGACAAGGTGGAGGCCACAGCTCCACCTTGTGACTTCGACCCCACGAGTGGGAGCATCCCCGCCACCAAAGTGGAAATAACCGTGTCTTGCAGGTGAGTTCAGAATGGTGGAGGTGTGTATTTTTCCCTTTTTGGTAACATTTTGCTGCAAGCCGCCCTACGAGTGGACACATTTCACGCCATTGACGTGAAACACTTATATAGGTCAGTTTGGGCCAACTATATGAAGAGTGAAACAGGAAAAAGCTTGAAAATGGGCAAAAATGACTGTAGGACAAATCTAATGGAATTCTTTAGTACAAACGAAACAAACATGTTAATTTATAAATGAAACGGGTCTATAAATGCTCACAATAATGAAATCATACCAAGTAAACTTTTACACGTTTAGTAGTTGCTCTTATAAAATCGTCTTTGATGTTGCTGACGTCGCGTGCCAAAGAGCGCATCCATTCTCGAGTTCACAGACACACACCAGAGGTTTTCCCTGAGTCTCTCGCCTACAGAGCTCGGAACGACACCTGCTCACTTGCTTCAGGGGCGTTTTGTTCTGATGATATTTGCAGTCCTGCAGAGATTCAGGAGCAAAAACCATGAAGATCACAAGAGTCTTATGTGGTTTGGGTGGGGCAGCGCTGGCTGCAGGTGGAGACGCGATGGAGGCTCCAGTGAGAGGCTGAAGCACATTAGTTTGGGTGTAAGCTCAAGATGCTCTATTAAATGCTTAACACAAATACAATTATTTTCTATGTTTCTGTGCATCATTTAGCCCAGAAGTATCATTATTCTGCTCTTATACAATAAATCACAATATCTGAATGAAATTGACCTCTCAGCTGATTCACTCAATCAGGTCTCAGGAAGGTGGATCCATTCATATTTTGAAATTATGAATCAGTTTGCATCATAACAGATTTCATTACCCCTTCTGGGTATTTGACTTTATGATGTGGTGATGCACTCTGTTATGTTGAATATTTTGTGTGTGTGTGTGTGTGTGTGTGTGTGTGTGTGCGTGTGTGTGTGGCTCAGGCTGTGAGTGCATATGAGTTTCTATCCACTGGGGGCAGTTTTTATGAGTAACAGCTGGAGGTGTGTTGTTTCCCTTTTGGTCCCCCTCCCCTCCAGACCTGCAGCCAGGATCCGTGTTGAATCCTCCAGGCTCTGTTGAGTTAGTCATTAATTCCTCTCCAAACAAAAAGTAGCTCCTGGACACAGCTTGCTAGAGAAGAAAAAGTAATTCCCTCTCTCACCAGATCCTGAAAGTCCCGCCTGTTCTGTGTGACTCGTGCAGATTGCTCCGGTCTCTCCTCCTCCTGTTCCAGCAGAAGCTGAAGTGCACAGCCATGCATGGAGCTCCTCCATCAGCTTATCAGGAAGTCTGTATTTGTTCTTTTGCAGTAGAGGCACACAGAAACAATGGGTATTATGGGTATTATGTGGGAGCGAGGCGCAGGCTCCACAACCCTGTGTAATTGATTTAGTAAGCCTGAAAGCTCTGAGATTGCAGCGCACATGGAATTGAACTGTGCTTTGCTGCCCTCCAGGTATTCTCATAACCCGCTGCTGATATTGCACGGTGCCCCCCTCCCCCCTTCTCTGATGAACTAGAGGGGCCAAAACAGATAGACGCTTATTAAAACAAGATCTGGATCTGCTGACAGGTCTGGTGAGCTGACCTCCAGTGGAAGGCTCACCCTCCTGCTCAGAGATTAAACAGCTGTTCTCTCAAGCACCCGCCCCCAGGAAATCCAGTTCAGTGGGATGGGGCCAGTGCTCCCCTGTTGCCCGACCCTGCTTCTTAAGTGGCCCCAACAAATGTGTTCATTAGTTAATATTTAAACAGTTGTGATGAATGTTTCAGAGCGTGTCAGTGTGGTTTGTGTGGTAAATGTGAACGTGGCCTCTTTATATCTCAGCTTGCCAGGCCGCCTCAAAGCTCCCATATACAATAGCTTCAGGGAAACGGAGGCTTTAGCTCTGTGGCTCCACTTTGAAGCACCCTTTTAGTTAGAAACGTTGGGAAATCCGTGCCAGACCCTCAAGGCTCGGCATGTGGCGCTTCATTCAAGGAAGATTTTTGTTCTTTTTATTTTTTTCCAACTTCTCTCTGACTTGTCGCGGCACAAACACACAACTGTCTTCTTCACTGGAGAGAACAAGAGGAAAGGGATAGTACAAATAACCTTGGTAGCTTGGGTTTACTGGAACAGAGTGAGGTGGGGGTGGAAGATCTAGCTTCCAAAAGATGACTTTTTCTGTGTCTCATTTTTCACAAAGAAGAAAATAACAAAACAATTTAATAGAAAGCCCGGGGACATGGCGGAGTACATAACATTAGCTTCAGTACAATATAATTACCAAGCAGAAGGACACAGTGTGACATTTTATCTCACTTGCATCCAGCAACAATTATTGGATTTTATTTGTCTTTCTAACAGTTTAAAAACATGCTGCTGATGTGCCGTTAGAGAGAAAAGCAGCTGACAAAGCAATCTCTCAGTCCCCATGCACAGACACCCACCTGATTGCACTAATGTGAAACTTTATCAGCCCCACTGACAATTTTATCGAGATGTTGCATGGTGTTTTCTACTGCAGCTCTGGTGATCTCTGTAAATCATTTCATTTCTGCACCAGATTGCTTAAAGTGGCGTTGCATCAAATCTCTGCAGATCTACCTCCTTCTGAGAGATTTATTACATACCGAAACACACAGAACGTAACGTAATTTCATTTCTCTGTATGTCTTGTACATGTGGTAGAATTGACAATAAAACTGACTTTGACTTTGAGAAGGTCAGGCGAACGCCGGCATCCTGACACAAATGTGTGCAGGAGAGGTCATCTGATACGAGAGGCCGCTGATTGCTGTGCCTGTGTCTAAAGAAATCTTCTGGAGAGCTCCACGATCTGATCTTTTCCTGAAGCAAAAACCTGTAAAATCTGTCAACATAAAAACAGATCTGGAGCAAAAATGATAAGAACACTTCAAATCTCCCTGAAATCAGCATCTCTTTGTGATCATGCGGAAGATGGATGGTCACAAACTGTCAGACAAAGCGTAACTTAATGTTCCAGAAGTGGCTTAAAATCACTCAAGCCAAAGGCTGTGGTTGAAAATCAGGGTTCTTAACCCTCTGGAGGCAGGCGTTGCAGATTTGCAACATTAAAACCTACCTACCTGGTTACTCCACGTACGTATTTCATGACCACTTTTTAACTCCTGAAGGACTTAGTTGTTCGTCCTTTCATCAAAATTTATTTTGAGCCTGAGAGGGTTAAGCCTAATTACTCCTACTATTATATTGTTTAAATTTTATTATGAACCTGTTTGCTTTGGAGTTTTTCAGGTTTGAAGATATGACATCTTGATCGTTATTTTGGTTGTTTTACGTCCGAAAGAACAACTATTTTTATGTTTATTTGAGAAAAATGCCCCAAACTGTTTAATTAACTCATTCACTGCTAGCTGTTTCCTGATCAGTAAAGCTCTTCGCTGCCAGCATTTTTCAGCATTTTCACTGTAGGACATTGCGCTCTATGATGATGTCGATGCCAAAACTACCAAAACAACCAAAACAAAGCGGAGACTCACCTCTTATATCAGGAAGAATCCGCGCGTTTCAATCGTTATCCGTTCTTTCATAATCCGTTGTTGAATTGTGGTCGGCAGAAGCTTCTCTGGTTCGCATCTCACTTTTTTTCATCAGTGGCCCAAAACGATCTCCTAACACATGGATCTTCTGCTTCCTGATCACGTGACGTGTGACGTATGCAGATGAAGATCAGCTTTAGAGCTGGGATGTTTGTTTTCGCGGTGCAGTGGTGCAATGACGACTTTAGTCGCCATTGACAGTTAATGAGTTAATGAAACCAAAAACACAAATCAACTCAAACACACCACTATAAATGGTAAAATCAGAGAAGATGATAATGTCCAGTGTTCTTTTGCTTTAGCTGTGGTGAAAAAGTTTGAAATAAATTTTTTTGGAAATCCTAAAATGGACAGTTCATGCTTTTTAATTTTTTTCATCTGAATGATTCAGTTGCGGTCTATATAGAGCAGAAGTGCAGGTCTTTCTCATTATTGTAGTTCTAACAGTCTGTTGAAACATCTCCACAGCACATGGAGTGACTCATGTCAGCATTGTTGCATACAACACTGTATTTAATATATGTTCCCTTTAAAGCAGCCAGATTTACATGTTATGTAGAAGTGTTGAAGATCTTCCAGAAGTTCTCTTTGGATTTTTTCAGCTTTTCCTAATTATGTCCAAAGTCTGGATTATGTACGCCAATTTTCCAGCAATTGTTCCAGCCGAACAACCTCCCGTCAGCTAGTGCTTCCCTAACTTCTCATCCACCCCTGCTCCAACCGCGACAGCCACCTCTCCCTATTTTCACTGCCGACGTTGCCCTTTTATAATATTAGTCAATGTCTTCTGGTTTAATCTAGTTGAAGTGGGCAAATTCTCTTCATTATTCATGTTTCTTCTTGTTAGCTAGCTAGCACAACCAACATGACTGCTGCTGTTCTACAGAACAGAAATGTAAACTCACGTGTGTTTTTCTAATCTATTGATTGGATGATCTGAGCTTGGGGCCGGAGTCTCTGGCCCCTACAGCTTACTACTGAGAATGGGTTGAGCATGCGCACTGTGATTTCAAGTCTTCCTTGTTTAAAATGAACACTGACGGGCAAAACAACGGCCCCTTCTCAGATTTTCAAGATTATTTAATCCACTGAGCTTGACAGTATCCTGGTAAAACAAATAAATCACCATAAAATAGATTTAGCATTTTTCAAATAAAAAAAAGAAAAAATTGTTGTGGCCTGATAGGACTTGTAACGATTCTTGTCTTCGACCTGAAAAATGCGGACACCCTTGTTGTGGAACATCTTTGCAAAGATCCTGCAAAGACCTGAACGATGCCTCAGCACCATCAGAATGTCACGTTTTATTCTCCTTATGAGTCAGTAACACCACTGGGTAGTGCAAAAATCCCCCCAAAAGAGAAAAAATTTCCTTAAATCCGTAATCTTTTAATCACCTATTTCATCTTGAAACCTGCAAACAGTTTTATTATCT